CAGCATTTTATTGGAGGTTCCCTTTAGCGTGGTTCAGTGGGGCCCTTAATCTAGATTCACAGCTACCTGAGGTATAGTTGGCACTGGTACATAGTCACCTGGGCGGGGGGCGGGGGGGAAGCAGAGGTACATACTTCCTCTCAAGGTATTTTGGTAGCCCCTCAGGGTCAGTTCAGAAGCAAAATTTTGCCAGCCCTTCCCTCCCTCTCACGCTCCCTCCTTCCCTAGCAGGCTTAGATCAGTTGCCTCACCTGCGAGTGAGGTTCCAGGTTCCTAGTCATCTCTCAGGAACTGCTCAGCTAACAGTTGCGTCAGCTCTTCTCTATGGATTCATATGCCCCCACTTGTAAAATCTGAAAGCTAAATTATTCCAAGTAGAATTTTAAAGGAGAATTAAGTCTGATAATTTTCTTTCTCTCCAGTATGTTTTGCCAACCTATGAAATGGCAGTGAAGATGCCTGAGAAAGAACCACCACCTCCCTACATACCTGCCTGAAGATGTTCTGCCTTTGTCAATAAATCCTATACCAGCTTTTTGTCTTGTTTATTTTACAGAATGCTGCAATACAGGGCTTTTCAAACTTTTGATATAAACTACGTTTTCCTTTGTTTAAGCATTTATTTTCAAACACTAACAAGCTTTTCGGACATCTATTAAAAGTCGGGTTTTTTTCTTAAGTCTATTACATCTTAGTAGGTTTTGAAGACAATCTAGGTTAAGCAAGAGCAAAGTGCCATTGTTTGCCTTTCATTGGGGGGGTGGGAAGGGGTGTTCTCTACACATTGTCTTTTTTAACTTTGCACTTTCTTTATATAATAGTTTGCATTTTGGTTATTTGCTGCCCTGAATACTTTCAGGAGGAATGAATAAGATATTCAGGGTGAGTGAGTTGGGTATAAGATCTGAAGTTTTCAGCTATGAAAACAGGAAAAATATGTAACATTTTAATTTGACTGTGGAAGATGATAGTTGCATGTTTCTAATTTGTATGTGTTTTCATCTTTGTGATAAGATGCTTTAATAAATCTCTTAAAATTAACTGTTGTCATTTTTAAGAAGCCTATTACTCTTTTTTTCGTAGACAAAACCTAACATTTTCCATTGTAATAAACTCAGACTGCCATGGTTTTTGATACTTTGAGACTACAATGCTGGACTTTCCATTAGAAAGCATTTCTTTAATCCAATAACTCAGAAGAATTGTTTAATGTTATAGAATATTACTTGAATCACAGACCAGAAATTAATGGTTTGATAGAAGAATTAAATGGGTAATGTAGCAAGCTGTGTTTTTATGTTGAGATCATTAGTTGGGTAATGAGTTCATCAAGAACAGAGAGTGTTAAAATGCATCATTTGACCTCTAGTGGAGAACCCAAAGAGAAAGCAGAAGCAAACTGCAGCGGAGGCAAACTGCAACTGATGGACTCCACAGCTAAAATTTTCTCTTGAAAATACTCCACTTTGCATCTTGCTAAGAATGCAGCCGTGAGTATGCTTATCTAATATATTGACAAATATATTGTATATATTTTTAAAAGGGAGACCAGACTTGTTTGGCTATAATCTCACTTTCAGGAACAGCCACCACTCTCACCTCCAAAATAAATGTAAACTAGAGTTGTAGCTTCTTTCTGACTAGTCTTAGTATTTCTGTCTCAGAGCTGCTGACAGCAAGATGTCTTCAGGAAGTGCTAAAACTGGGCACCTGTTCCCAACTTCAAAGCTACATCTGTTAGAATAAACGGTCAGATCAAAGATAGCAGCCTGACTACAGAGGAAAAGACGTGGCCTTCCTTTAACCTCTTGACTTCACCTTTGTGTGCCCCATGGAGGTCATTGCTTTCAGTGATAGGGCAGAGTTTAAGAAACTCAACTGCCAAGTGGTTGGTATGTCTGTGGATTCTCTCCTGTCACCTTGCATGGATCAGAACACCTAAGAAATGAGGACTGGGACCCATGAACATGCCTTTGGTGTCGGACGCCAGGCATGCCATTGCTCAGGACTGTGGTGTCTTTAGAGGCTGATGAAAGCATCTCAGTCAGAGGCCTCTTCATCACTGATGATAAAGGTTTCCTTCACCAGATTGCTGTAAATGACGTCACTGTTGGCCGTCCTGTGGATGAGAGACTAGTTCAGGCTTTCCAGTTCGGTGGCAGACGCAGTGGGCATGGGGCATCAAGCTGGCTGAAAACCTGGCAGTGGTACCATCAAACCTGATGAGCAGAACAAGGAATATTTCTTTAAGCAGAAGTGAGCACTGGGCCACTTTAGGGTCATGTGAAAGTGGACTGTCATGAGAACAAAACCTCTTAGGCTTAAAACACACACTCTTTAGCCTGGACGTGGTGTGGGTCGGGACAGGCGTTTCTTCCTCTAGCAGGGGTGTCTACCCTGCGGCCTGCGGGCCATGTGTGAGGACTTCTTTTGCTTATCTGTGGTGGCGGATGTCACGAAAATGATGCTGGGACCTTCTTTTTGCTCATTAGTTTCCATTTGTGTATTTAATGTGTGGCCTGCGAGGAATGTAGGGAGCAGGCCAGCTGATGGGTGCGATAGTGAGGCATCACCTTTTTTGTAGTTTTTATTAAACTTGGGGAAAACTAGAAAAATGTCATAGTATCTGGGAGTATACTCAGTTTTTGGTAGTGGAAGATGTTTCGGTGACTGGTAAAACATTTCAGTATCCTGGATGACTTCCGTGGGCTCGGTCTGGTCTCACTTTGTTTCTGCATAAAAGCTGAAATGGAAGTCTTCAGAAGAGATCCACCAAGTTTTCTTAGTTGTTTTAATTCTGTTGTCCTCAATGGTGGATAGGCTAAGCAGCATTTGGATATGAACCAAACTGTTAGTAATCCTTTCCCCTGACCTCATGGGGGCGCCTTTTTGTGTTGGAGGTGGGAGGGGGAGGGGGAGTAGATACGAAGGAGCTTGCCCACTGCCCACCATCAAGCTCAGAACTGGGCATTATCCTTACCCGTGGGGTGGAAATGATGAGCCATCATTACTTCATTGGAAGCAGATGTATCTTTTGGAAAAGGACACTGGCCTTCAACTTAATAGAGAACAGTCACGACGTTTTAGTCCCAGTCATTTCTTTCAAGGAGGGGAAAAACTGTGATGTTTAGGGGTCATTTTTCCAGTGGAGGAAAATCTGTTGTTACATAAGTTAAATGTACTAGTAAATGTGCCAAAATTGTTCGCCTTGTTAATGTTTTCCCTTCTGCTGGTGCTGGAGGAAATCTTCAGTAGGTTCCTTTGATTCTAAAATTCAGGTACAAGTAATATTCAAGGATAAATGTTTAAATGTTCAGTCCTTTTTCAAAAAATTTTTATTGATTTTAGAGAGAAACATCGATTTGTTTCACTAACTTGTGCGTTCATTGAGTTTTTTAAAAAACTGACTTTATTAGGATAACATCTAAAAATTATATCGGTTTATCCCTGGCTGGTGTGGCTCAGTCAACTGAGTGCCGGCCTAGGCGTCGCTGGTTCGATTTCCAGTCGGGGCACACGCTTGGGTTGCCGGCCAGGTCACCCGTTGGGGGCGTGTGAGAGGCAACCACACACTGATGTTTCTCTCCCTCCGCTCCTCTCTCTAAAATAAACCTACCTATTTTATTATTTTTTTAAAGGTGTACCGTTCTATAAGTCATCATCTGTGTGTTGTGCTGTGTGCTCACCGCCCTGAGTCAGGTCTCCCATCACCATTACCCTTCCTTTACTCTCTCCTGCCTCCCCCGACCCGCATTTCCCTCTGGTAATGACCATACTCTTGTCCAGGAGGGCCTTTTTTTTTTTTTTTTTTTTTTTAATCCCTTCACTTTTTCACCCAACGTCCCTAACCCCCTTCGTTCTGACAGCCATGATTGCATGTCTGTTTTGTTAGTTAGTTTTTGTTCGTTAGAGTCCACATATACGTGGAGTCATATGGTATTCGTCTTTCTCCAACTGGCTCATTTCACTTAGCATAATGTTCTCCAGGTCCATCCATGCTGCCGGAAAGGGTTTAGAGTTCCTTTGTTTTAAGCCATGTGGAATTCCATTGTGTGAAGGTACTGCAGCTTTTTGATCGGCTCATCTACTGAGCGGCACTTGGCTGTTTTATCTTAAGCCCTTCCTTCGTTTTGCCTCTCCCAGCCTTCATAAGCATACTCTCAAAACAACCCTAAATCACCTGGACTGGTAGTGAAATCTTTCCTGCACTAAGTTAAGAACCCACACATTCCAGCCCTTGCCAGCGGCAGACCTGCCTCAGCCTGATCCCTTTCCACGACATTCTGGAGCAGAAAGGACATTGGGAGGGAGGGAGCCTTTGAAGTCTCTGTGGGTACGGGCTGTCCTGCCTGTCCTTCGGCTCGCAGGGCGCTCTCCGGGGAACGCATGTTTGACTTTCTATTCTGGGTAACACACTTACTGTTGCCCGCCCCTGTAAGTTCGGTAGTGTTTGCAGATGTCTGAAGCGGGGATGAAAGCACTGCTATTCATCCTGCTAGAATCTGTGAGCCTTTATTGTTGTTATTATTTTTAACCGAGAGCCCACAGCAAAACGTGGGTTCCTTGGCTGGGGAAAGGAATGTGGTGCGCGGAGCAGGATGAAGGCTTGAGGCGGGCAGAGCCGCATGGAAAGGAAAGGCGGAGCCCGGGCCTCAGCGCTGGGACCCTGGGGACCGGCCAGAGGCGCCCAGGGGAGGGGGCCAGGCTGACCAGGGGCCGGAGGAGAGGGTCGGCCGCGCCGGGGCCCGCCAGGGCTTGGAACGGAAGGCGCGGGCGGAGACCACCTCCGGGCTGCAGGGCGGGGCCCGGGGGCCCCACGGAACCCCGGCCCCGGGCCCCGCCCCCCGGCCCGGCTGCCCAGACCTTGATTTGCACCGCTGGAATGCGCGGGGCAGCTCCGTGTGGCCGGGGGCGGGGCTGCAGGCCGGCGGCCGCTGGGCGGGGCGGGCCCCGGGCCGCGGGACCTTTAAATCGGCCGCACTGGGGCTGTCCCTGGCCCGTAACTGACCCAGCCAGCGAGCGACCACCCTTCGCCGGACACCATGCCGCACCGCCTCCCGGGACTGCTCCTGCTGCTCTGGCCACTGCTGCTGCTGCTGCTGCTGCTGTCGCCTGCAGCCCCGGCTGCACCCGGTCCCCTGGCCGGCCCGGGCTCCCGCAGGCTGGGGACCCGTGGCCCCGGGGGCAGCCCCGGGCGCCGCCCTGCTCCGGCCGCCCCCACCGGTGCGCCCTATTCGGGGGCCGGCCAGCCCGGAGGGACCCGCGGCGCAGGTACGGCCAAGGCTGACAGGAGAGGCGCACCTGGAGGGACACCCGTCAGGGCGCACGGAGGGAGGTAGAGCCTGGCACGGATGGTCTGGGGCATCTGGGCCTCGATGTTTCCCCCTCCGTCCTGGCCTGAGCTACCCGTGGTGCAGGAGAAAGAATCCCCTCCCGGGTGAATCCTGTGGGGAAATTGAGGTTCAGGGAAAGAAGAGAGTCAGAGGGCTAGGATTTGGGTCTCCTGAAGCCCAAGCTTGGATAACGGCCCCCCTGAGATCTGGGTAGGGCAGCTGTGCGAAGGTGGCGCCTCGGCCCCTGCTTTTGCTTCCGCTGAACAAGGGCCTCCTGAGATTATGCCTGGAGTTCTCTGGAAATCGCTCCATCTCTCTTGCCCCAGCTCGGTGAGGGACCACCCTTCCTCCCCTCCCGCCAGCCCACAGGCTGCCTCAGTCTCATCCAGGATCTGGGCTAGAATTTCCACTTTCCAGTCTGGTTTTGGGGTGTGAGACCAGGAAGAAAACTTGGGTTACCCTGTGGGGGCCCCCCACTTATAACCATCCTGACCTCAACTTTTTTTTTTTTAATTAAGATTTTATTTATTTATTTTTAGAGAGAGGGAAAGGGAGGGAAATGGAGAGCAAGAGAAACATGCTTGTGGTTGGTTGCTTCTTACATGCCCCCAACCGTGGGCCTGGCCCGTGACCCAGGCATGTGTCCTGACCTGGGAATCAAACCGGGGACCCTCCGGTTCACCGGCCAGTGCTCCAAATCCACTGAGTCACATTGGCTAGGTCAACTTCTGTTCTGCCCCTGATCACACGTTCTGCTTCAACTGACCGGGCCCCCTGTTCCACCCTGTGCTCCCCTTGGTCCTCAAGCACCCATTTCTTTTTTGAGTCAGTAGTTGGTTCCTGTGGCAGAAAAAGCCCCTAGCACAGCATAGCCAGAAGATCATCTCATGCAACCCCAAGAGCACCTACAGGAAACCGAGGCTTGTCAAGCCGAAGGGCCCCCACCAATCCATGTCAGAGCCCGGACTAAAACTCAGGGCTCTGAAATCCCAGGCAAGGGTCTTTCCACTGTTCTTAATACGGTTTATGTAAGATTGAATCTCCATTGTCAAAACTCCTGCTTCAGTCTCGCTGGAGAGAGGCTGCACCAGACCATTTTGGGGTGTCCAGTGTCGTCTGGCCAGCGATGCTGCATGCCTCGGGTTGACTTGTGTTGTCTCTCCCCTCCTGCCCGTTTCCTGGTGATGTGGAGAGAGACCCCAGGAACTCCTTGCTGCACCAGCCCTGGCGGGCTGGGTTTGAAATGGCGACAGCATTGTCAGTGAGCCAGGTTGTGCCACAGGACGTAATTACGTCTGATCAACAAGACGTAATCCAGCTGGGAACCGGGGGGTTGCTCCCGGCCAGGAGTAGGGAAAAAGCCTTTCTTCTAGGAGTTACTCTTACCCCTGGGCCTCACCCACCTCCCTTGGGAATGGGTCTGGGAGAGGGAAGAAGGATTTCCGTGTAGGGTGGCCACGCCCCTCCTAAGCAGCACTTGTCCTTTATTACCTGGAATCCGAACTGATTTTGAATGATGATCCTTTAATTAGTATCACATTCCACTCTTTTCCTAAGTCCTTCCTTTCCCACTTCCTTTGACATTCCTTAGAAATTCCTAAGCTTTGCAATGGGCTTTTATTTTTAGCATAACTCAGAATTTGGCAATATTGTGCGTATGGAAGCATTTTGGGAAATTCAGATTTTGACCTTCTTGGTTTCCTTTTTTTTTTTTTTTGCAAGGAGGGTGTGTGGTGGGGGGTGCCTGGTAGAGGAGGTGTTGGGTGCTGGGGGTGGAGGGTGGGTGGCACTTTCTTGGTTCCTGAGAATCAAAGTGCTGCTATCCAGACAAGGGGAGCAAGATTCAAAAACAGTGATGGGGCAACTAACAATTTCCAGGGAGATACCGATCGGGAAGTAACCAGATGCTCAGAATTTCCTGCCTTCCCAGGCCAGCCCCCTACGTTGGTTTTCTATGGCCGCTGTAATAAATTACCATCAAATCAGTGGCTTAAAAACAACACATTGTCTAAGAGTTCTGTGGATCAGAAGTCTCACCGGACCAAAATTAAGGTGCCAGCAGGCCTGTGTTCCTTTTGGAAGGATTAGGGGTGAATTTGTTTCCTCGCCTTCGACGTTCTGCGGAGGCTGCCCTCATCTCTTGGCTCATGGCCTTTTCCATCTATTTTCAAAGCCACCGAAGGCAAGTTGAGTCCTCCTCCCATGTCCTCGCTCTGATCTCCTCTTCTGCCTCTCTCCTCCACGGCTAGGGAGCCTTGTAATGGCACTGGACTCCATCTAAGGTCTTTTACTTAATCACACCTGAGCAGTCTCTTTGGTCATATAAAGTAACAGACAGGTTCTGGGGATTGGGATGCAGACATCTGTGTGCGTGGGGGTGTGTGGTTCTGCCCCCCGTACCTTCACATGGAGGATTCCGTGTGAAAAACCAGATGGAGAAGGAAGGAATCAGGCATGTTTGCTTATGAGAACGTAACCTTGATATGGGTAAGGACACCATTTGGGCGGTGTTCACATCACCCTTCAAGTCTCCTTGTACCCCAACTATGCAAAAAGGCCTCCATCCGTCTCTGGGAAGGATTTTCAATGCGGGTCTTCTTCCTTGCTCCTGACCCGTGGTAACCAAGGGGTGAAGTGAAATTCTGGAGTTGTTTTTTTTCTTTAAAAGGTCTTAATTCCTTTTGACTTAACTAAATACATGACATGCAGACTATTTCAGGGTGGTGGCTGAATGTCAACAAGAAGGATGTTTACTAGGTATATGAGATAATGTTGATTTCTGTGGTGGAAAATGTTGCCTCAGAGAGAGGCACCCATATGGGGAGAAGCTCCCTCGGCTGCGAGCTGGGAGACCTTTTATCGAATCCATGTTCTACCACTTTCTCGCTCTTACACCTCCCTGAGACTCAGGCTTTTCTCCTGTAAAATGGGTACAAAAGCAACCTCTGTACCTCCACCTTCACAGAGTCGTGTTGGTACCCTTCAGTCTCTAAGTGTTGATGGCAGGATATTATTTATTTCTTAATTGAATACCTCTAGCAGCAGGATAAAATCAAAAGAACAATTTTCAGTTTTTGAAAGAAAACTATAGAGACACCTAATCCCTGTCCCATGTAGGACCTTTTGCGTCATGAACTGCTTAGTCTAGGGATTTATTGTGAATCCACCTTTCCCCCTACTCACTGGAGTAGATTGCCTTAGAGAAGCATCTATTTCCAGCCCCTATTAGGAAGGGAAAGAACTTCGACAGTTATTGTTCAGGGGTCTTATTTCCATTTAGGACTTAGTGTGTATGAGGAATGTATGTGCCTTTATGTGTTGGGAGAGAAGGAGGAATGACTTGAAAAAAGACATTTGCTAACTAGCTTCTTTCTTAGGCAGTCCTGACTTTTGTACTTGATATTGGCGGCACCGAGAGGGTGGGGTAAAGAATGAGAATGGGCGGAAAGGAGAAAGTATAGATGAGCCCTGGCTGAGTAACTAGATTGGTTGGAGCAAGAAAGTATAGATGAGCCGCCTGGCTGGGTGGCTTCGTTGGTTGGAGCACTGTCCCCGTACACCAAAACGGTGGTGGTTCGATCCCCGGTCAGGGCACTTACCTGGGTTGTGGGTTCAATCCCAGTCAGGGCATGTACGGGAGGTAACTGATTGCATGTTGATGTTCTTCCCTCTCTCTTGTTCCCACTTCCGCTCTCTCTAAAAACAAAAAAACACATCCTTGGGTAAGGATTAGAAAAAAAATGTAGATGAAAACAAAAGTGTATCGTGTTACTATAATGTGCCACAGACTTTTGTGTAGGAAACATGTAGGTTCCGTGAGGGCGGGGAGTATGGTTTCTTTGCTTTTATAGGCCCAGGGCTTAATACTTGGGAAGCCCTCCAAAAGTTTTGGGGAATGAAAAAATGAAAGAGAGGTGACTATGGGTTCGGTCGGGCAGTAGGATAGATACCAAGTTGCAATCAAAAGGGCCACAAAGTTGGAAATGCAATCAACATGGACCAGGTTAAGTTGTTATCCTTCTTTCTACTTTCAGTGTCGCTGGGGCTAGTTGGGCCCTAGAGTTCATGAAACATGAATTACGGCCAGACAGGGAGATTTAGGGCCACTCTGGAGCAGTGTTCACCCCGCGGAAGTGCGTAGAGTAGCGTGCAGTATGGCTGCCCTGACAGTTCACCTTTCACACAGTTCAGGGACACTTGTCCCATTGCCTCAGGTGGCCAAGGTGCCTAGGAAGTCATTCACTCCTGAGAGTCAAGAGAAACCTTGAGAAACAAAACTTGAAGCAGAGGGATGAGGTCCTAAGTGAAATCGCAGGGCTTAGCCAGCCCACAGGTGAGGTGTTTGGGGACAGCTCCCACCTCTGTGAGAATTCTCACGAGGGAATTCTGAAGGCCTAGGTGCTTTCAAAATCTAAAGGGAAATGGTCTTGGGAAAGAGCAGACAGTGGGGCATTTGGTGGTAGGGGATGCTGCTGTGCCTGGCCTCCAGTCCCAGAGCATTCTGGGTGTGAGCAACGGCCCCAGTCCTGACTGTGGTCCGACCACTGCTTAGTCACTTCTGTTCCCCACACCCTTCCCTGCAGGTGTCTGCAAGAGCAGGCCCTTGGACTTGGTGTTCATCATTGATAGTTCTCGCAGTGTACGGCCTTTGGAGTTTACCAAAGTGAAAACCTTTGTCTCCCGGATAATCGACACCCTAGACATTGGGGCGGTGGACACGCGGGTGGCCCTGGTGAACTATGCCAGCACCGTGAAGATCGAGTTTCACCTCCAGACCCACTTGGATAAGCAGTCCCTGAAACAGGCCGTGGCACGAATCACACCGTTGTCGACGGGCACCATGTCGGGCCTGGCCATCCAAACAGCGATGGAGAAAGCCTTCACGGTGGAGGCAGGGGCTCGGGGGCCCAGCTCGAACATCCCTAAGGTGGCCATCATCGTGACAGACGGGCGGCCGCAAGACCAGGTGAACGAGGTGGCGGCGCGGGCGCGGGCAGCGGGTATTGAGCTCTACGCCGTGGGCGTGGACCGCGCAGACATGGAGTCGCTCAAGATGATGGCCAGTGAGCCTCTGGACGAGCACGTGTTCTACGTGGAGACCTACGGGGTCATTGAGAAACTTTCCTCTAGGTTCCAGGAAACCTTTTGTGGTAAGTCTTTGCTTCTAACTAAGAAGGATGTTCTAGTCCAAGATTATGAATCCAAAGAAAAAACAGATTTCTTTTCTCCCCCCACTCCCTGCTTTTTTTTTTTTTTTGGTGGAAATTTTATGGAAAACTTAAACATAAACAATGCTTCTTTTCAGTGTTTAGGAATAGAGAGCTGCCTTATATACAACTTGGTTTGCTCATAAAAATCTCCATGTTTGCATTAGAAGTGGGAAGGTGTGGAAATATCCCGGGTAAATGATCCCACTGTTCCCTGATGGGGTCAGAGAAAAAGAAAAACAAAACATTCAGGATGCTGCTCTTCTCCCCTCTGGCCACCGCTGCAGTTTCCCCAGGCATTTTCTTTCGCTTTCCCACGCCTAGATTTTACAGAACTCCGCGTGTTTTCCTGCGGAGCCCAGGCCCCGCGCCTGTCCACGCGAGGGTCAGTGGCCTGGGCGCCGCTGTGACAGGCAGGCAGGGTGTGCGTGTTGTGACTAGTTTTCGGGTTCGGCTCTTTCTCTGCTTATCCTTTGTGGAGGGACAGGATTCAGAGTCAGGGAGACTGGGATCTCAGCTCCCCTCACAGGTAGAAGGAGCGGGGCTTGTGTGTTTTTTTCAGTCATTCTCTTACTGCCCTTGTAATTTCTTCCTTTAGGACGGAGTTCGAAATTGGAATTTTTAGCACGAATTAGCCAAATCCTGAATACAAATCCATTTGAGGCTGGAGTTTACTATTAGTCACTCATCAGAATTATGAATGTGGGACTTATACTACATTTTTATTTTTATTTATGTTTTCTACCCATTTACATCTACCTATCTATCATCATGCTTTATTTATTTTTTTCTTTTTATCATTGGGAGATAATCTTTTGAAGCCGTGTGATGGAATTCTCCAAACAGGTGTGGACTAACAGATTTTTAGTTTTTAGGTGAATTTTAAAATGTAGATACCTTTTGCTAGATAATCTATTCCGCATTTATTTATTTAACACACATTTCTTGATCACTGAGGATACAAAGATAAAATCAGTCCCTTCCTACCATCAGGCAACAGTTGGGGGAGTGGGGATGAGACAAACACGTGAACCAATAATCACAACTGTATATTTCAAGGAGGAGACTTTATCTAAACTAATGGGAAGCTCAGCAGCCGTCCGTTTATCAGGAAATAGAGATGAAGTCTTGGTCTGGAGCAAAGTCTGGCCCCATGCCTGCCAAACCTGGCTGGGATCCCCTCGTCTGTTCTGTCCCAGGACACCGGGCTTTCACAGCTGCTATTGGCTTTGGGGTATCTGCCTGGCATTCATTAGTTTCCCAGAGGAAAAGGGCTTGCTTTCTCCGAGGGAAAAGCCCCTGTGCCTGCGGGTGAGAGCTTTTCCATAGAGCCGCTGGTCTGCGGCAAAGTCGGGCCCCAAAGCTAGCACCTGGGGCTGGGCTTGAAGGCCATAAAGTAACAAGTGGTGAGTGGCAACCTTTTCCTTCTGGTACAAAAGACCTGCTTGTTCTGGGGGGAAAAGGCCCTCTCTATGGAAAAAAAGGACTGAGGAGCAGCTTGTTGTAGTCCACGGACTGGAAGGATCATTCCATGAAAAGGCTCTTCTTGGGAAAATATTAGCCTTGTCCTGTTGCCAAAGCAGTGGAGCTGGGTTACCTGCCACAGAGGTGCCAGCCTCCCCCAACAGGCTTCCTTGGTTTCTCAGGAATGACTAAATTCATTGATTCTTCTTTCAAAACATCTCACTAGGAAAGAAAAAAAAATCCAATGAGATATAAATGGCTCTAGAAGGGAAAAGATGGAGACGAATTTTAGCTAATAGAGTCTTACTTATGTTGTTCTTTTTACCTGTTTGTGTGTAGCATGAGTTTACTCTCCTTACTGATATCGGAGGCCCTGATGTTGCATATGTTTAAATTTGCTGCATAATTGGAAGGCGGTTTACCTGTTGGACCTTCACCATTTGCAAGTTTACATATGCATTGCTCCACAAGTGTGAGTGAGTTCCAGGCCTAGAGCAATGCGCATGTGTGCGAACTCTTTTTTAGAAACAAACTATAGAACCCGTGGAAGTCAGATTCTGGCTGCGATGGGACAATTAGCTCATAGAACTTCAGGAAATACATTATTGTTCTCCCCATATCTGGCTTTGGGGTAGCAAAGCTTTTTCATGGGTAGGGGGATAAGTCGAATCAGTATCAAATTACCGGCCCCATGTAAGTGTTTGGCTTCAGCTCCAAATTAAAAATACTCTTTCTTTTTTGAGAAAGTAAACAATAAGATCTGCGACTTAAAATTAATACCATGATTAGTTTAAAAGTGATATTTCTAAGAGGCTAACACTTAGAGTGAACTCAAGAAAGAATTGGAAAGAAACCAGAGAGCAATGTCTTCTTGACATGGGAGGCAGTACCTGAAATGTTCACGTGTCACCACTGACTGTTGGCGACTTCCTTTGCGCAGCGGTGGACCCATGCATGCTTGGCACACACGGGTGCCAGCACGTGTGTGTCAGCGACGGGGACGGCAGGCACCACTGCGAGTGCAGCCAAGGGTATTCCCTGAACGCGGATAAGAAGACGTGCTCAGGTGAGGCCCGCTCACCCAATGGGCGCTTCGAGAGCTTCTATTTGGGGACCTACTCTCCCGGTTTTGGACTGGCCTTATGCGTATCTGCTAATTGCTTTTTGGCTGGTTTACTGTTGTTTACCAACAATTTCCCTGAAAAGGAAAAATGAGAAGAAAAGTGAGGTCATACGTGTATCGGCCTGTTATAGTACAAAATTCTGGGTCTTCTTGAGGATTTAGAATTTTTCCTGGATTTTATTTAACGAAACAAAAAGCTACCTTTTCCTCTCTGTGCCCATTGCTGCCCATGGAATCTAGAAGAAGGAGAAAGTCTGGAGAGGTCCTCTTGCGTCTGGCATAGCAATACTCACATACAGTCAATGACGAATGGGAATTAGGCCCATTTTAAAATAAAGTCCTGGAAAAGTATTTTTGAGAGGAGAACTTGGAGGTCATGTAATTCAACCTACTGATTTTATAGACAATGAATTGAGACCCAAAGCAGGGAGGCTTACCCACAGGTGGGGTCTGCCAGTAAAGAGCCAAGACCGGAAAGCCGGCCCTGGCTCCCAGCCCCGCAGCCTTCCTTGTGTGCCAAGCTGCTCTTCACTGCGCGGTCTGTAATTATGTATTTATGTCTCCATGCGTTCACGTTGGTCCTGATCATTTTTTAATTTTTTTTTTTGTCCTGATAATTTTTGATAGCTATCAATAAGTGTGCTCTTAACACTCATGGCTGTGGACACATCTGTGTGAATGACAGAAGCGGCTCTTATCACTGTGAGTGCTACGAAGGCTACACTTTGAATGAAGACAGGAAAACGTGTTCAGGTAAGTGGGAGGGGAGGCTTTGCTATTGCCACCTCTTTCGGCAGCGTTGAAGGCATAGGTCACATCGATGGGAAACTGGATGTTTTCCTCTCTTGCCACCCTTGGCTTTTTCCATTTCTAAGAGAAAAAGGCAAGAAGTGAGAAAAGCTAGAAGTGGCCGCACGTGTGTATCACGGGCCACCTGTGTGAGAGTGTTGTTGTTTCCTTCTCTGTACCCGCCCTAGCAGTCCTTTCCAAATGCGCTAAAGGCAGTTTAATCAGCTTACATCAAGTAACACCCCACAGGATATTTATTACTTACAAAAGGAAAACAGTAACTTCATAGTGGAGAAACCTGGCGCACAGCACTTGAACCAAGTAATCAAAGTTAAGTTCAACAGTAGTGACACGTAGTGACCTCACGCATCTCCTGACACGGTGTCCTGAGGGCACAATGGCGCTTCTGTGGTATCCTTGCTAAAAATTCAGAGTTACAAGGAACCATCAGACAACCCCAGGCGGAGAGATCTCCAACAAAGTAATTTTCCAGTGTTTTTCAGAAGTGTCAAATCCGTGACAGACAAAGAAAGACAGGAAACGCTACAGGTTGGAGGAGACAAAGGACACGTGAGAGTTTAATGCAGTGCGTGATCCTGGGCTGGATCCTGGACCAGGAAAGGGACACTGGTGGAATACCTGGCAAAATTTGAGTGTTAGATTATTTGATTAGTAGTGACCTAATCTGTATATTAGTCAATAATATTGTATCACTGGTAATTTCCTCGTTTTGATAAATACACTATGGTTATATAATATGTTAACATTCAGGGAAACTGGGTGAGGAACAGGACCTCTTTGTGCTATTTTCACAATTTTTTCATATGCCTGAAACTATTTCAAAATGAACAGTTTAAAAAATTTAAAAATCATTTAAAAACATGTCCGTACAGAGAGTAAGTGCGTTGAGTGACGTTTTAGTGCTGTACTGAGTCAGCGGTCTTTGGACTCAGTTTCCTCATTATAACAGGACAGAGTTGAACTACATCTCCTTCAAACTCTATGTCTTTCTGAATCTGGTATAATTAGCCATACAACTTTGGGTATCCTTCTTATTCAGCAAAAATACAAATAAACCTAAAAGGAATACTTTAGGAACTATTTTATGAGATACTTGGATTATAAAAATTCCACATAGATGATTCTGTAACGGAGTTGGGCAAAATAGGAGGATAGGTATTGTGTGCGTAGGATTTTGTTTAACTCTGCGAGGTTCCAGTAAAAGAAGTAGTACTGAGGCCTTTGAAAGGTTTCTAAGGGGTTTTCTTCTTACATATTTTGAGCTGCAAATAAAATTTCTTTTTAAAAAATATTTATTAATTTTTAGAGAGAGGACAAGGGAGGGGGGGAGAGAGAGGGAGAGAAACATGCCTTGCGTTTGGTTGCCTTTAACATGTTCCTCAACCAGGGACCTGGCTGGCAACCCAGGCATGTGCTCTAACTGGAACCGGATCTGCCGCCTTCTGGCTTGTGGGACGATGCTCAACCCACTGAGCCAGACGGGTCAGGGCTGCAAATAAGATTTCTCTGCATAGGCAGTAAAAGACTTCTCCATGTTTCATTGCTTTTCCCCTGGACTTTTGTCTGGCAGCTCAAGATCAATGTGCTGTTGGTACACATGGTTGTGAGCACGTTTGTGTGAGTGACAGAGCTGGGTCTTATCACTGTGAATGCTATGAGGGCTACACTCTGAATCAAGATAAAAAGACCTGCTCAGGTAAGGCACACACAACAAATCCTTTCATACTTGGCTCTTTCTCTTGCAGTGAAACCAGCTTTCAATTCACCGAGAGATTCTTCCAAGTAACTTAAAGAATCAGGCTGTAGACATTCTACTGTGCTTATAGGCTAAGGCATGCATTGCTTAAAGGACCATGAGCTCACTAAAATCTGCAAGCATAGATGACTTCAGAAAATTACTGGGAAATGGGTAGGGGTGGGGGATATGAGAAAAGCTCAGTGAATGTAGGGTCCTTCTCCAGGAAAAATTTATAGCTCCATACACCAGGGGCTTGTAAAGCAAATAGGAAACTTTAGAGGAAGTCTGTTGGACAGTAACTATTTGGTGTGATAGGCTGAACTGATCTTTTTCCAATTAAAACTTGGCCTGGAACTTTTCTGTAGCGTTCATCTTAAAGCTGGATTGTGTTAGTAAAGGAAACTTTGTAAACGACTGAATTAGACCCACACAGATCTTCCAGTAAGCTTGAAGCAAGTTGTTCCCTGACAGTTTCTAGATGATCAATCTTTGATGCATCTGAGGCCATGCCAGAACACGCGTCCTCATTAATTTAGACTCACTGGCAGAACAGGGTGGCATTTATAATCTAGAAACACTCCTACAAGAAATTCTTAGCTCTCCAGGTGGTGTTTAGCTCTGGCATATTCAGCATATATATTTATTTAGATTTTATGTATATTTTTCTCTCCCTCGAGGAGATATATTAGGTAGCTTTTTCAAGAGGAATGAAAGAAAATGACTATTACCAATTTCCTTTATAAAACAATGAGATCAGTGAAAGAGTACTGAGCATCTACTCTGTTCCCAGGACTGTGCTAATCACTATAGGGATACAAAGAGGCAGAAGCTTCTGCCTCTGAGCGACTTACAGGCTGGGTGCAAAGAGAACCAGTGCCTTAAGTAAGCAGAGACTGAGTCGCCAGGGAGAGGGACTGATGGTAACTAAGGGCCAGAGGTGGAGGCGTGTCCACTTGTGTCTAGTGAGCAACGCAGGGAGGGTGGGGCTGGAGGTGGTCCTTTGAGGATGGTGACAGTTTGATGGAGGAGGAGCGGAGAGATGAAGCTGGCAAGGGGCCTGGCATGCGCTGGCTTGCTCAGGGAGGTAGGGCTAAGTTGGTGGGCGGGGGGAGAGGATTTATGGCTGTACTCAAATCGTTACAAGTCTCCATCCCACTCCCTGCTTTAAGCTACCAGGAACACTGGCGTCCTGGGGAAAGGAAAGGAAAACAAATTTACATTTCAACTAATAAATAAGGAATAAAATGCAACAGTTTATGTAAGAAAACCCATAAAACATCAAAGACGATTTTCAATCAAGGCGGACTACTGGAGCAATACTCCTGCTGACGAGAGCCAGCATTCTTCAGTGCCTTCTGTGTGCACGCTTGGTTCTATGCATTTTAGACACAGTCACACATTTGGTGCTCACAGCAACTTTTTATGCGGAAACAGGCGCAGACGGATTAAGTAACTTGCCCCCAGTCGCTCAGGGAATGAGTGGCAGAGCTAGGATTTGAACACAGGCACTTGCTTTCATGGTTACTTGTGTTCTTAAACACTAAGCCGTACTGTTGCGTGGTGCAAAGCACAAGATGACAAAGGGAGATAAAAGAGAAAGACAAGATGGTGGCAAGTTAGGGTTTATGCACTTGAGAATTATGGATACTATCTAAAGCTGGGGTACGTGGGCTAGACCCCCTCTAATGGCCTGCTTTGCCCTAGCTGGGCAGTAGCAGGGTTTGTAAATTAAATGCGGAGGCACACCCAGCTGGTGTCTCTAGAGTTGGCTGCTTAGCTGGGAGGAGGGGAGGCATAAAACTTTCTTTGATTAGGCGTTTTGCTGGAATGCCGAATCGCAGAGCTGGACTTGAGCTGTAATGATGAAGTTGGAAAGACACTTTACAGATAGATCATGAAGAGCCTTGCCCTTCACGCAAAGCAATTATAGAGGCCATAGTGAGCCATGGAAGGTTTTTGAGCGTGAAGTGACACTTCAGAGGAGAGTTAGAGGGGAACAAGTTTGGTCCCGGCAACGGCAGAGGAAGAGCCTATGTCTCTGAGGAGGCCTTTCTGGGTTTGCTAAAGAACTGTAATTTTCACCTCCATGAAATGTATTTACTTGTGACAGATAATAAATACTTCACTGTCCAATCATATATATTATTGTCATCATCATCATTGTTTTTATGTGTGTGTATGTGTATGCAGGTCACTTTTTTTCTGTCCCCTTTGGTAGCTATCAAGGGCAGGCCCTTGGTCATTGGAGTCCTTTTTGTGCAGCATCAAATTTAGCTCCATGGATAGGTAGGTCCCTCATAATAATTTTGGCAGTGGGGAAGAGCCACGTGTAGTTGGAGATGTTGGACGCATTGGTGGTCATCAGGAAAAGCTGAAGGTGAGTTCTGGAATATAATCAAGACTCAGGGCAGCCCCAGTGCTGCGGGTAGGAAAACAGAGGAGGCACCCCCTAGATACCAGCAAGAGATGGAAAGGAAAGGGGTATATGCAGTAAAAGGCGGGGCTCGGGGAGCTGAGACATGGGGCAGGAACATAGGCTTTCTTCTTCCGGAACATGGGAGACTTGTTGCTGATGACTGAAGGATTCGTTCTCAACACTCCTTGGGGCCACAGCTAAGCCTTTTTCCTCCTGGAAGTCTGTTTTTCGTTTCCTGTTGTAATTTGTGACTTTCCTTCCCTGCTGTATGCCCTCCCCACCCACATCAGTTCGTGACAAGTGTGCCCTGGGCTCTCACGGTTGCCAGCACATTTGTGTGAGTGACGGGGCCGCGTCCTACCACTGCGATTGTTACACTGGCTTTACCTTGAATGAAGACAAGAGGACGTGCTCAGGTAAAGCCTGTCCCTTTGCTCTTATTTTATTTGGTAGGTCATCCTAGGGGTAAGCGTTTCTTTCTCCAAGTCGGAAGCCCATTCTTGTGGTCAGAATCCTCCAGGGGTTCCCAGTTGGCATCAGAATAAAACGATTCTCCTCCTACCAGAGAGTTTTCCCTCCTTGATCTGGCTCCATCTTCTCTTTCTCTTTAGTTAGAAAGAAAAATCAGTCTTGGGCATGTTTTCCTACTCGGGGGAGATGGGGATTCAGCCTGATTTATAACGATTTAAGCTCTGACCTCATTTGTTTAGCCATTCACTGGTTTATTTTTTCAGCAAATATTCATGGAGCTACTGTTACCTATTAAGCACTTTAATTAGGTCCTGAGGAAGGGACTGGAGACAGATTGGTGTTTTCTAGTTAGCAGTGTACAAGCCTTGCACTTCTTTTGTTAAATTTATTCCTAAATCTTTTATTCTTTTTGGTGCTATTCTGAATGGATCCATCTGTCAACTTTCAAATGAGCTCTATCGCAGATGGCCAGTTTTCTATAGGGCCTTTAATTAGAACATCCCACTGAGCCTCTGCCCTCACAGAGCTTAGAGCTTATCAGTCAAGATATGCTGAAAAAGCATCCTAGAAACTAACTGACTGATTGAGATGGGATTTGAGCTGGCCATCCCTAAAAGGTTCAATAGGATTTGGATGGGTAGGTAGATTACACTTCATCAAGTGAGTTTTTTTTGGTCCTCCAGCCCTACGCCATATTTTTGTAGAATGTAGGAAAAAATGTAGGAGCAAAGGACCACCCACCCGTCCTCAGGCAGTAGCACTACTCAACCGGAGGATCACACAGCAGTCTTCAGACCTGGGAAGTTACTCTTAATTTTATCAGGCAACTTTAGAGGATACTGAGCTGCCTCACTGAATTAGAGAAAGAAACAGCAGTTAGCATTATCGTTTTCCCAGGTTCTTTGCTTAAAGGTCAATACAACTTTTAGTTCCAAAGTATTTATAGGCAAGAGCTAGAACTCTCAATTTAAACAAGTCAGTAGAATAATTGTCCATATAGGAAATCAGGAATTATCTACTTTTAATCCTTGAAGTATTTTGGCCACACAAATACAGGTTTTCCTCATTTTCATTTTTTAATGAGGGTATAGTATCATAAGGTTGTCTTATCTCTGCATTCCTGGCTTCCTGCTATACTATCTTTTTAAGATTTTACTTGATATCCTGGAAAATTTCAGACAATCACAAAAGTATCGAGAAAATCCAACGAGCTCCCATATAACCGTCACCCAACTTTGGCAATGTCGGCTTGTCCCCAGCATCTCCTAATTCAGTTTCTTCTGTGATAGTAGCATTCTGAGGTATTTTCTCCTCTTTCTGTGTGCTCTTGTATCCTTTTCCTTTCCAGAAAATGCATTCAGGTAAATCTTAAAAAAGAGAACTATCACATCGCAGGTTTCCCGACTTGCTGTGATTTCTAATGAGCTGTAACACTTTGTGTACCGCCATTGTCACCAGCCATTGAAGAAGCACGGAGACTCATCTCCACCGAAGATGCCTGTGGATGTGAAGCCACAGTTGCATTCCAGGAGAAGGTCAGCTCGTACCTGCAGAGACTGAACACGAAAAATATCCTTTCTGGAAGGTTCTCTGCTACTGCTGAAAGCCAGCCTAGGTACTACGGTGAGCCAAACACTTTAGGATATTCCACAGGATAAGGACCCTCCCTGTTCATTAAGTTATAAGATGAGCAATAGTAGTACTCTGTAGCTTTTATTTTTTAAATTTAGGGTTCCTTTTAAACGTTTTAAGGGAACATTTCACCTATTTAATATTTACATGTAAAAGCTACCTATTTATTTCTCCAGTGTTTTTCCATAGCAGTATATGCCCTTAATTGAGCTCTTATGAACGGAGGGAGCGATTATGCTGTGATTTCTTAGTATGGCTTCTCAGTTCAGAATCTGTACCTGCTCACACTGAGGCAGCTGATGCGTGGGCTGTGAGAGCTCAGATGGCACAGACCTGTACAGGCCGGCCGGCCAAGTGGTCAAAAAGCAGATCTGAGGTGTAACATGGTGCCATCTCAGAGACTTTCAAACTCAGGTCTTTAGCCAAAGTTGTAATTCAGGCAAAGTACTTTGTCTTAGCACAGCTCAAGTTAACAATGCTGTTCCTAGGGATCTTTGAGTTGTGGTATTCACATTGTGAGGGGGATCCCTAGGCGTATACAGAGACTTTCCAGGGGGTTGGGGTCTGTATGTGTGTGCCTGGTGGTAGAGGGAGCAGAAAATTTTAAAGGGGTCAGTTTCCAAATCCTTCACTTCCTTACTTTGATCTGCCGAGAATGCCGCTTGGAGTTACCTGGCATCCTCTCTCTCAGTTCAGTGCCACCGTCCCCCTAACTTCACCCAAGAAAGGCGTGCCTCTCACCTGGCCTGAATCTTCCTAAAGTGAATTTCTCGGAAAAGTAAGATTTCAGAGAGCCAAACAAAGGGACAGTTCCGCAGGTTTTTAGGCCAGTGCTTCCCAAACACTTCCCCCCCAGTCCCTTCCACTGAGAGAGAGCTTTTCAATAAAATTTTACCTTTTATTTTTAATGATTTTACGTCAAAATTTGTAACTTATTTGTTGCTTCGATCTATTCTGTGCTCATAATAGTTGTGATTATAACCCAATCCATATGATTAAAATAAATTTGGGCCTTAGAAAATTGGCCAAAGAAAATTAATTGAAAGGTAATTTCAATATAAATGTGTGTGCTTGTTTGTGTAAGTTTACTTCAGGGCAGTATATAGAGTGATCAAGAAAAGATTTCCAAGGTTCAAAGTAGAATAAAATTCTGTGGAGAAAGTATAAAGGAGATACAAATTCTTTTATTTTAAATATTTTATTTTAGAAGAATTATACTAGATATCAATTCAGTATGGGATATATTTGAAAGATGGATTTAAATTTTATTTTAAAGATTTTATTTATTTATTTTTAAGGAGAGGGGAAGGGAGGGAGGAGGACAGGGAGAGAAACATAGGTATGTGAGAGAAACATCGCTCGACTGCACGAGCCTCCCCCGGACACTGGCCCGCAACCCAGGCATGTCCCCTGACCTGGAGTCAAACCAGTGACCTTGTGCTTTGTGGGACAGTGTTCAACCAACTGAGCCATACTGGTCAGGGCTAAATTTTACTTTAGAGAGTCAATATTTATAACAGCAGAAATAGCATATTTTGAAACTAAAACCTATAATGAAAAATGTTCATATAATTTAAATATACATAAGACAAAGTTTATTTGTCAAATTATTTTAGGAGACATATCAGCACAAATGTGTGAAGACTACTGCTTATAGTATGCTTTCTAAAGAAAAGAATTTCTGAATTTTAGACTACATCACACTTTTGATGAGAAAATTGTTTTCTTTATTCCCATTAGAATGTATTTTATTTTGTATTGAAGTGTTTGAAAGTTTGTTTATGTTTTCTAATGTCTAAAAATAAATGGTGTTGGCCTTAACAACTATCTACTTGATGACATTTTGGAGAAGCTGCAAGCAAATGAATATGGACAAATACATCGTTAAATTGCTTAAAATTTTCACCTGGAAATATGGAGAATTTGGTATATTTAATACTTTTGCACATTGCAATGTTTCTGCTAATATTCTGCCATTACAAATGCTTGGGTATTACTGGATAAGTAGTTTGAGAATGTTCTGGAGAATCAGTATGATTCTTCTAAAGAAATAAATATCCAGATCCTTGTTAAAAGCAAACTTTAGTGTCTCTAAGCTATGACTGTGAAAATAGAATGAAAAGTTTAATATTTCTTTCTTTATTTACTAATTGAGCCATTTAATTTTTTCATTTCCTAAGTTCTCATTCTATTCTCAAACACAAGTCTTCTGTTTCTACAATATAATTGTTTATATTATATATTCACTATAGATATTTTTAAATGTATAGAAGTATAAAGAAGTAAATAAAAAATCACCTGTACAAAACTACTAACATTTTGCTTTTTTTAGTGTCATTCCTTTATAAGATAAATGTACATTTTTTTATTCTGTTCTTTTTAAGAAAATTTATTGACTTTATTGGTGTGACATTGGTTAATACATTTATATAGGTTTCAAGTGTACAATTCTATAATACATCATCGTATATTGTAATGTGTTCACCACCCAAAGGCAAGTTTCCTTCTGTCGCCACTGATCCCCCCTTTACCATCTTCTACCTGCCCCCCTCTTCCCTCTGGTAATCACTATATTGTTGTCTGTGAGTTTTTTTTTACCTTAACCTTTTACTTATCTCACCCAGCCCCCAGCCTCCCCTCCCTCTGACAGCTGTCAGTCTGTTCTCTGTCTATGAGTCTGTTTCTATTTTGTTTTTATCCATCAGACTCCATGAATAAGTGAAAACATATGCTATTTGTCTTTCTCTGACTGCCTTATTTCACTTAGCGTAATGCTCTCCAGGTCCATCCGTACTGTCACAAAGGGTAAGATTTCTTTTTTTTTTTAATGGCCCAGTAGTATTCCATTGTGTAAATGGTCCACAGCTTTTTTTATCCACTCATCTACTGATGGGCACTTGGGCTGCTTCCAAATCTTGGCTATTATATAAGTAACGTTGCAATGAACATAGGGGTGCATATATTCTTTCCAATTAGTGTTTCTGGTTTCTTTGGATAAATTCCCAGAAATGGAATCTCTGGGTCCTAAGGCACTTCCATTTTTAGTTTTTTGAGGTATCTCCATACTGCATTCCACAGTGGCTGCACAAATCTGCATTCCCACCAGCAGTTCACAAAGGATCCCTTTTCTCCACATCCTTGCCAATGCTTGTTTGTTGATTTATTGGTGGTAGCCATTCTAACAAATGGGAGGTGATAGCTAATTGTGGTCTTAATTTGCATTTTGTGATGATTAGTGATGTTGAGCATCTTTTCATATGTCTATTGACCATCTGTTATATACTCTTTGGAGAAGTGTCTATTCAGGTCCTTTACCCATTAAATTTTTTTTTAAATTTATTGATTTTGAGAGAGAGAGGGGAGGTGGGAGTGGAAGGGGGGGAGAGAGAGGAGGTGGGAGTGGAAGGGGGGAAGAGAGAGAGAGAAGAGAAGAAGCATTGATTTGTTGTTTCACTTATTTATGCATTCATTGATTGCTTCTTGTATGTGCCCTGACTAGGAGTCCAACCAGCAAACTTGGCATATTGGTATGATGCTCTAACCAATTGAGCTACCTGGCCAGGGTCTTTGCATATTTTTTAATTGTATTTTTTTTTTTTTGGTGTTGTTTTGTAAATACTTCATAAATTTTGGATTTTAATGCTTTATCAGATGTATTATTGGCAAATATGTTCTCCCATTCAGTGGGTCTTCTTTTCATTTTGTTGATGGTTTCTGTTGCCATGCAAAAACTTTTTAGTTTGATGTAGTCCCATTTGTTTATTTTTTTGTTTCTCTTGCCTGAGGCGATATATCAGGAAAAAATATTGCTATGAGAAATGTCTGAGTTTTACTGCCTATGTTTTCTTCTAGGATTTTTATGGTTTCAAGTCTTACATTTAAGTCTAACCCATTTTGAGTTTATTCTTGTGTATGGTGTAAGAGGATGGTCCACTTTGTTTGACATCTATCTGTCCAATTTCCCCAGCACCATTTATTGAATAGACTATCTTTACCCCAGTGTATGTTTTTGCCTCCTTTGTCAAATATCAATTGACCATAAAGGCATGGGTTTATTTCTGGCCTCTATTTTCCATGCAATGGAAACTTTTGATCTTTTTTCTCATGATAGTGATAGTATAGTCTAAACCATTCTTATTGCTGAGAGTATAAATTTTACATAGTATTTACACATTAAGAAGTTCCTTTAATTAAATTGAGATGGATATAATTTTGAACTGTTTCTTTAATACTCTTTGTTTTTTGCTCATTTTTATTATGTATTACTGAAGCTGTGATCAGGGGATTGTAATACACGTATCTAAAATAGTTAACACAACATTACATGCCATTCTTAATTCATTCTGATGTTTGGAAGAAACACAACTAAAGACATTAGTTGTGAATTAAGAGTGTTGTAACTTTTTACTAAGAGCAAAAACCCTAAATTTATTTTCTTTTCCTTTATGAGTCAATACTGAAGTTATGTTTATAAATATTGCTGTAACAGAAGACCCAAATGTTGTCTTTTTCTCTCTAGAAGTCCAATGCGCTACCCATTGCGTCACAGAGCCGATGTTGTCTTTTTAAAATGTTAGTGATAAGCCTAACTTTTTTCACTTACGTATTTGACACATATAACTTTTTTTCAGCTTTCAAGCCTTACTTTTAGAAGAGTCCTTTTTTTTTACTAAATCCTTTTCTTTCTTGGTTTGTTTTTTCTTTAGTATAATAAAAATATCTTTATATATTACTGTCATGCCTTTTTTGGTGGGGGGTGGTGACTCATACCAGTTTTGTCTGTTATCATATTTCCTTAAATTAAGCTGGATTATTTTGAATATATAATAGTTTCTTTTCATAGACATAACGTTGTGACTCTGTATAATTTAAATACGATGCTCTTAAGGTAAAAGTTTAAGTTCAAGTTTACTAGAAAGGCTTTAATCAAGAATGTTGTGGAAGAGGGAATAAAGCAAAATTATTTAAATCTAGGTAAAATAATGATGAGCATATATTAATATATATGCTGAGAAGCAAATATAACAAAAAAGAATAGTCAAAAGCCAGGAACTATAAAAAATCTAGAATATAAGCTTTAAAGGGAATAAATGAAAAATGAATACATCAAAGCAGTATATATTTTATGAAACATATTGTTATTTCTCAACACTTTTGAAAGGACATGACAGAGCAATATTATTTTACAAACTTGGTTGAACACAGAATCAGTAATATATTGTATAGTACTATATCACAGAGCAATGGTGCTATAGAGGGAATATGAGAGGCCATGTTCAAGAATTAGGGAAAGGTATTGAGAGATGGTTTTTCAAGAGTGAGACCATTAGAAACTAGCTTCAATGAATCCTGCCTTAAATTTGACCATTTGGTTGGGATTCCCCTGGCTTATATAATATTCATGTACTTCATGAGTCCAATATAGGGAGCCCATGGGGAGGTGCCAACATACCTTAGGAATTATCAATTTGGTCCGGAAAAAACAAATACACATACATTGGAAAACAAATCCATATATCACCTGAATGGGCTAGGGGTTAAGGTTGGAAAGAATTTCTGAGGGAGACCTGAATGTTGTGTTTGGCTAAGCACAACTGGCCAAGGCGGTAGGAACGTCAAAGTACATATAAAATGGCCTTGGAAGCGGAGAGGAATGGTGTGGTGCACAAAGCATATTGTCTTTCTTAGAGTCGGGACACCACAGTAAAGTCATTATAGGATTGAAGGAGAATCTGATTTCAGCCAGGGTTTCACTTTGATAGGAAAGGCTCCAGGACCATTGTCAATTCTTCAGTGCGCTGAGTGAGGCAACGGGCTCAGGGGAAGGATTTGTACATTATTTGTTTGAGATGGGGAGAGACTCTAGATGGGGAAATTGGCTACTGTCGCATAAAGTACATATTAGATTATACAAATCAACAGTGTTAGCTGTAGAATATGATAAAAGGGAAAACCAGAGAAAAATAAAAAATGAGTGAGACAATAATTTCACGAGTTTTGGCCCTGTGCCTAAAATTGTGGCACTTTGTAACTTTCCAGGAATTCAAAAAGCACACAGGAGAATTGAAGAAAAAGAAGAGAATATAGAACAATGGACTCCAGGCGAGAAAATACGAATTACTAAAATTATTTAAAAATAAAAGGCCATGCCCCAATGGCAATTATATGCTGTAATGGCCCAAAGCTCATACATTATTTTTATAAGGGCCCTTGGGCTCAGTTACAGCTTAAATAAACTGTTAAAAAATCCTAAAACAAACAGAATGAACACAAATGCCAACCCTCACATCGCTCCAGGGAGTTCTCTAATCCCCAAAGGCCCAAGGGAAGGTTTTCAAGGTCTGCAAAGGAATATTTGCAGTTTCATTTGCCCCGAAGGAGCCAACCTATCAAATACAGTTAATGACTTTTCCCTTTCAACAGTGCTGGGGCTTTGGAGCTGCCAAAATACCAAATCATTGCATGGGCGCCTTTCCTCCTAAATGGATACCGACCCCTCCTGCGAGTTTCACAGCGAGGTGTGGCGTGTGCTCCGAGCCCGCTGGGAACTGAGAGCACCTGAGGCTTCGGGGCAGGGCGCTGAGGGTCGCCGACCCAGCCCCGAGTGAAAGCAGACAAGCCCTGAACCAGACACCAAGCCCAACTAGAGCCTCGGCTCTCACTCAGCCAAGGCTACCAGCCCCGCGACGTCTGCACAGGCGCACGACGCACTTTGGTCCTAGCAGGGCCGACGCCGGAAGTGCCCCTTAGCGCCCCGGATGCGACCGGTTGCCAGGGCGACGGGAGCTTCCAAGAGCCGCTGGTACTGGCGATTGGCGCCTTGAGAAAGAGTTCCCAGTTGCGGGCCTTGGCGGCTGGGGTCGTCCTCTCGGGATCTCCAGGATGTTCTTTTACCTCAGCAAGAGAGTGAGTTTCCCAGGGGTTGCCCTCGCTCCTTCTCCGTTAGCTCAGCCAGCCCGCAAAGCCAGCCATGCGGGTCGCGGCTTCTCCATCCCTCCTCCGACCTTCTCGCCTGGTCCAGCATCGCACCTCCTCCACCCAGTCCCCAGCCCCAGACCGTCCTTGGCGGAGCCAGCAGCCTTCTCTTTGAGACTCTCTGCCATCCCTGCCCCTGGCTGGGTTCCTTAGCGGGGCCCGCTGGACAGATCGGTGCGTGCTTCCTCCACTTGTTGCTGATCCAGGTGACTTTAATTCTTTGGAGCATCACTGTCCTCCGGGGAAAAGAAATATAGTTACCAAAAGGTAGTCTGCGTGTCGTGTGTGGAAAGGGAATGTGGACTGATGATGGTATGGGTTCATATTTCCAAC